GGCATGGCCGGGGGCATCCCCGGGGGCAGCGCTCCGGGCGGCGGCACCGGCGGCGGGAAGGAGCCCGGGGGGGGCAGGCCTGCAACACAGAATTCCACACGGTGTCACTCAGGTGCCATGGTTAAATTATCACCAAAAACACAATGTTAGTGTGTGTTGGCTGTGAATCCATGTGTGTGGAATGCAGAGGAAGATAAAAATCCATGAATTCCTCACTTTATCCACACATAAAATAAACTGGATAACGGCCACAGCAGCCTTGGTTATAGGATCCATGCTTAGATAAGGGCCTGCAAATGGGACAAAAACAACCACCCAAATCAGGGTAAGCTGGACCACACAGGGTCCCTTAACGAGGTTTCTATAGCAGCACACAAAAATTAATTAGTCAAAAATTGTTATTCAATTTTTTTTCCTATGCCCCATGTTGGGCACCAAAATCTGTCTTGGTTTGGAAAGTCAGGTGTGTGCTAAGCAAGGCAGGAGCCTCCCCTGAAATGGAAAATAAATAAAATGAAGAAATAAAAATTAAAATAAATAAAATAAACCCTTTTCCTCCGAATTGCTATAAATTTTAAAGAAGGAGGGCCAGTGTGGCAGCAGCTCTCTGGCCCCACAGAGAGACTTTCCCAGGATTTTCCTGGGGAAGGCTGTGAGGAAGCTCAGAGAAAAGAATTAAAACAATTCTTAATTAAACTAATAAATATTAAAATAGTATTTTAATATATAGCATATATTTTTTATATATGCTATATATATATTAAAATAGCATTCTATTAAAATAGCATTATATTTATATATATATGCTAATATATATTAAAATAGCATTATATAAAAATAGCATTATATTTTTTATATATTCTAATATACATTAAAATAGCATTATATAAAAATAGCATTATATTTTAATATATATGCTAATATATGTTAAAACAGCATTATATTAATAGAGCATTATATTTTATATATATGCCAATATATATTAAAATAGCATTATATTAAAATAGCATTATATTTTATATATATGCTAATATATATTAAAATCGCATTATATTAATATAGCATTATATTATATATATGCTAATATATATTAAACTATCATTATATTAACATAGCATTATATTTTAATATAATATATAATTATAAACTAATAAATCAGCCTTCTGAGAACACAACCAGAATCATTATTTTTGCCTTCACTGACACACCCCTGCCAACACACCAGGAATTTCACGACCAGAGCAGCGCCAGCACCTCCCACCCTGCCCTGCCACCCACCTGGAGGGGTGACGCCGGGCCCCAGCGCGGTGACCACGGGCGCGGGCACGGACGGCGGCGGCGGCGCGTCGGCGAACAGCTGGTGGGGCCGGTCGGCCTGGGACAGGGGGTTCTGCGCCGCCAGCAGCCGCTCGGCCGCCGAGCCGTGCCGCTCGCCCTTGGAGTCCTTCTTGAAGGCGTAGGACACGGTGATGGGCCGGTTGCACAGGTACTGCCCGTTCATGGCCTCGATGGCCGCGTCCGAGGCGTCGAAGCTGGCGAAGTTGATGAAGGCGTAGCCCTTGGAGTTGCCCGTGTCGGGGTCCCTCATGATCTTGGGGGTCTGCAGGATGACCCCGAAGGCGCTGAAGGTGTCGTAGAGGAGCTTCTCGTCGATCTCGGGGTCCAGGTTGCCGATGAAGATGTTGGCGCCCACGTCCAGGTTCTTGTTGTGGGCCGAGGCCTTGTTGACCCGGATGGGTTTGCCGTAGAGCTTGATCATGTTCATGATCTTGATGGCGTAGTCGGCGTCCTCCTCGCTCAGGAACTCCACGAAACCGTACCCTGGGGGACCCCACAGGGGCTCAGCACGGCTCAGAGGGGTTTCACAGGGCACCCCACGAGGATTTCGGGACAGAAATCCAGAAGATTTCCCCTGGACCCCAAAAGGATTTCGGGACAGAAATCCAAAAGATTTCCCCTGTACCCCAAAAGGATTTCGGGACAGAAATCCAGAAGATTTCCCCTGGACCCCAAAAGGATTTCGGGACAGAAATCCAGAAGATTCCCCCTGGACCCCTAAAGGATTTCAGGACAGAAATTCTGGACCCCAAAAGGATTTCAGGACAGAAATCCTGCTGGACAGAAATCCAAAAGATTTCCCTTGGACCCCAAAAGAATTTCAGGACAGAATCCCCCCACCTGATTTAAAACCCCAGCTCATTGAAAACCCCATTTAATAATTGACTGAAACCCTCTTGGATTTATTTTAATACCACCTAATACTTGATTCAATCCCCACTTCATTTAAACCATACATGTAGGAATGTGCTCCCCCCGTTGATGGAGTGGCTAAATTATTCTTTGTCTGGTAAAAAAGGAAAAAAAAGGCCAGAAGTTTCTCTCCTCAATTTGGTAAAAGACACCTCATAAGACTTTTAAGATTTCACCTCAGACTTAGGGTTGCCCATTAGACAGAGGCCAAAAAGTCCTGCCTAATTAATTCACTAAAAAAGAGAAGAGAACAAAATAAATAATTGCTTTTGTGGATTGTTTAGCAAAAGCAAGAACCTCTTACCCTTAGCTCAGGTTTTTCCTTGTAAGAGCTTTGCTATTTTACCTTTTATTAAACCTTTTCCAACTCTACCTCAAAAACCATCCTGTAAATTTTATTTAGATCTATCTCAGGCGTGACAAGCTCTCTGAGAGCTCCTAAAACCTGACTCCAAGAGAAGCCCACCACTCCCGAGGGCCAGAGGATGGTCCCCCCCTCTCCCCCAGCCCTGCCCTCGGTGGCATTTTGGGCTCCCTCACCCTGGTGCTGGCCCGTCACCCGGTCCTTGGGCATGTGCGTGTTGACCACGGGCCCGGCCTGCAGGAAGAGCTCCCAGAGCAGCGGCTCGCTGACCTTCTCGTCCAGGCCGCCCACGTACACCGTGGCATCTGCGAGGAACGGAGCTCAGCGCGGGACCCCCACCAACGCCAACCTCCCCTCCGCCCAGCCTTTAATCCACGAAACCCCCCGCCCCTCTTTCTCCTTGGGGAAAAACCACAGCCCACCACGAGCGCGGAGCTCCCCCGGCGCCTCCCTCCGCGTCCCCCGGAGCCCGGAATCCCCTCAGGCGCCTCGCAGGACACACCAAGCACCCCTCATTATTCCCCTCAGAGTGCACCCACAGCACCCCCGCGCTCCCCGCGCACCCAAGGCCTCCCCAGCACCCCCGCGGGGTCCCCCTGAGCGCCCACAGCGCTCCCCCGGTGCCGCCGGTGCCCCCCGGGCCCGTCCCGCCGCTCCCACCCTGGTTCCTCTCCGAGATCGGCCCCGCCGCCATCTTCTCCCGCTCCCCGCGCGCGGCGCCGCGCGCACGCACGCACGCACGCCGCGCGCCTGACGTCAGCGCGCAAGCCCGGCGTCAGCGGGACGGGGCGGGAGCGGCGCCGTGAGGGGGAAGACGCGGCCGCCATCTTGGGTGTGGGCAGGTGTGGCGCTGCCCTTCCCTCTGTCGCGACATGGCACTCCTGTCGCGACATTGCACTCCTGTCGCGACACGGCCCTTCTCTCGCGACACGGCCCTGGCGGCCAGGAGGGCCCTCAGTGCCCGAGGTGCCAGGTCTGGGCTCCCACAGCGTCCCCATCCCCATTCCAGTCCCCGTCCCTCAGCTCCTGGAGCCTCATGGAGGCAGAACAAATTTAATGGAAAAAGCGAGACCCCGTCCAGCACCGGGGACAGCTCGGGAGCCGGCGCTGCCAAGCGCCCAGAGGTGGCCGGGGGCGGCTGTGGGCAGTTTGGAGCCCAGGCCCGAGGGGTCCGGGTGGGCTGCGGTGTCCTTGGGGGCTCAGTGGGGTCTGCGCAGGTTCCAGGCGCCGAGCCGGTCCTGGAGCAGCTGCAGCTCCTCAGCCAGCCCGGCCAGGGACGGGGCCAAGCGCCCACGCTGCGGGGAGAGCATGTCCAGCACAGCGTGGGGACACGGGATCCATCCATCCATCCATCCATCCATCCATCCATCCATCCATCCATCCATCCATCCATCATCCATCATCCATCCATCCCCCAAACCGGGCCCCCCCAGACCCAGACCCCATCCCCAGCCCCCCCGTGCCTCAGTTTCCCCGGTACCTGTTCCTGGGGCAGCCCCCTGAGGTAGCAGCGGTGCCAGAGGCGGATGCAGGGCCCGGCCGTGCAGGGCAGCAGCAGCCCCGGGGGGGGCTGGCGTGTCCCCAGGAGCCCCCCCTGTGTCCCCTGGCTGTCTGAGGGGGACACCCGGGGTGGGGGGCGGCTCCTCCAGGGCAGGGGGTGGGGGCACAAGGAGCCCTTGGCCAGCGTCAGCACCAGCCTGGGCCCCCCCCACGGGCAGGGGGCTGCGGGCTGGCAACGGGGGAACAGCGATTAGGAAAAAATTTTTTTTAAATGGAGGAAAAATTTAAAAAAAAAAAGAGAAAAAAATCCCCTCTTAGGATTTTCCATCAAAGGGAAAACAGGGGAAGGAAAAGCGAGGTGAAAAAATAAGATTTTAGGAATAAAAGGGGCTGAAAAAAAAGAGGAAATGGGGGGAAATGAGGGACTGAGGGGAGGGTGCAGCCCCCCAGGGCAGCCCCACTCACCGTGGCCGGGCTCAGGGTCCCAGCAGGGCCCGGGGGTCCCGGGGGTCCCGCGGGGTTTTTAGGATTTTCCATCAAAGGGAAAACAGGGGAAGGAAAAGCGAGGTGAAAAAATAAGATTTTAGGAATAAAAGGGGCTGAAAAAAAGAGGAAATGGGGGGAAATGAGGGACTGAGGGGAGGGTGCAGCCCCCCAGGGCAGCCCCACTCACCGTGGCCGGGCTCAGGGTCCCAGCAGGGCCCGGGGGTCCCGGGGGTCCCGCGGGGTTCCGGAACTGCTCCCGCTGCTGCCGGGTGAAGCGCCGGCCCCAGGCCCAGACCGGGGGGAAGCCGCAGGGGCGGGGGTCCCCCCTGTGCCCCCCAGGCTCCTGCCAGCCCCCCACGGGCCGGTAGGTCTGGCTGGGCAGCCGGGGCTGCGGGGGAAAGGGGTGGGAAATCAGTGCCCTGTTTGGGATGGGGAAACTGAGGCACGGAGGGGGAAACAAGGGCTAGAATGTGGGGGTGCCCATGCCCAGTTTGGAGGAACTGAGAGTGAGGAGAAAAGGGGTGAAGCGGGAGGGTCTGGGGGTGCTGCCCTGGCTCTCACCAGGCTGCTGCGGCCCCGCTGGCGCTGGCAGCTGAAGCGGAACGTGCTGAAGTAGGGGCTGAAGCTGCTGTCGTGGAGCGCCAGCAGAAAATTCTCGGTGAAGCCGAAATGCGCCGGGAATTGCCACAGGAGCTGCCACGTGCAGTCCAGGAACAGCAGGAACACGGGCGCCTGGGGGGGATGAGGGGTGGGGGCGTCTCACCTCCTCCCGGGGGCAGGAACAGGGGTCTCACCTCCTCCCTGGCAGGGTGACCCCCATGGGGCAGGAATGGGGGTCTTACCTCCTCCCAGGTAGGGTCACCCCCGTGGGGGTCTCACCTCCTCCCGGGGGGCAGGAACGGGGGTCTCCCCTCCTCCCGGGGGCTGTCCTGGCCCAGCAGCCCCAGCCGGCGGGGGAAGGGGTGCCCGGCTGCCACCCACTCCCTCTGCACCAGGCTCTGGAAGCCGGGCAGGGAGCGGGCGTGGGGGTCCCCCAGGAGCTGCACCAGAGAGGCCAGGAGGCAGTTCAGGTCCCGGTCCGAGGGTTCTGGAGGGGGGCACGGTGGTGAGAAGGGGTCTCCTTTGCAGCCCCCTCCCCTCCTTTTGCAGCCCCCAGGCTGGGGCCCCCACCTTGGAGCACCACGGAGCAGCGCTTCCCTGCCAGCAGCGACGCCACCTCCGCTGCTCTTCTCAGGCACGAGCTGGGGGGAAAACAGGGGGTTCAGGGCACCCCAAAATGTCACACGGGTGGCTCATGCACCCACCACAATGCCCCCGTCACCCCACGGTGCCAGGTGGGCTGGGGGGCACATTCCATCCATGGATTTAGGGTGATTTTTCCCCAAAATATCTCCCTACACCCCAAAGTTCCCCTTGTCCCCAGACGTGGTGGTTCATGGACCCACCACAATGCCCCCATCACCCCACAGTGCCAGGTGGGCTGGGGGGGGCACATTCCACCATGGAATGTGGGTTAATCCACCCATGGATTTAGGGTGATTTTTCCCCAAAACACCTCCCTACACCCCAAAGTCCCCCTTGTCCCCTGCTCACCGCACGTGATCCAACCACCGTGTCCCCTCCAGGGCCGAGAGCCACTTCTCCTCTGCCACTGCACCTGCATCCCACGGGATGAGGATTCAGAGGGGCGGGAGCCCAGCCCCCCTGGGGGGTTTGGGGGTCCCCAGGGTTCCCCTGGTGTCACTCACCTGGCAGGCAGAGCGCCCGCAGCCTCAGGTGGGCGAGCTGGATGTCGGCCAGCGTGGGCAGCTCGGCCGTGTCGGCCAACACACACGGCCCACGGCCCCCCAGCAGCAGCTCCTCCAGGCACCTGGGGGGCACAGGGAGCCCCGCGTGGGGCCGGGCTGGGGGTACACCCTGAGTCCCCCACCCCAGACCCCCTGGCACCCACCTCACGTCCTCGCCGCCTGGCTCTGAGGCCGGGTGAAAGCTGGCGGCTCTCAGCAGGTCCCCCCCACCCGGGTGGTGCCAGCACAGGCGCTGCAAGAAAAACGGGGTGACGCCCCCAAATCCCCCCCCCCACAGTGCCCCCCACCCTGCCAGGGCCTGCCCAGGCACTCACAGGCACCCGGCGCTCCTGGAAGTGGGCAAAGGTCCGCTTGAGGTCGTGGTCCAGAAGCCCACTGGGCACCCAGAGGTACTGGGGGAGGCTGTGGGAAGGTGGGACACAGGGTGGGGTCCCCCCAGATCTCAGGTGCCGTTTCTGGGGGCTCAGACAGAGCCGGGGGACCCCCGGGGCTGTACCTGGGGGCCATGTCGAAGCGCTCATTGACAGCGCTCACCCTCCAGCCCGCGGCACCGAGACGCTGCAGCTCCTGCTCCCAGTCCCGCAGGCTCTCGAAGAGCAGCGTGGTGGACGAGCCTTCCTCATCCTCATCCTCATCCTCCTCCTCCTCCTCTGGCGGGGCTTCACCAGGGCTGGTCCAGCCGTCAGCAGCATCCCCCAGCCACGCAGCCTCCTCCCGTGCCTGTGCGATGGCGTTGGCCACCTGCGAGGGCAGCCGGGGCTGGGCTGTGCCGTGGGAGCCCCCCGGGCTTCCTCCGGACCGCGGGGTACCGCGGGCTACCCCGGTACCTCTGCACCTCCCCGGCGTACCCGGAACGCCTGCGGAGCCAGCCCGTTCTCGGGGAAGTAGAAGTGGAGCAGGCGGAAATCCCGGCAGAAGACGGCGAGCTCCTCGGGGATGAACTTGAGCGTGGAGGCGGCCGTCAGCACCTTGGGCTTGGAGAAGCTGCTGGCTGGGGTCGGGGGGGTGAGGCTGTGAGAGCAGCTGAGACCCCAGAGCTGCCCAGCCCACCCCTCGTGTCCCCAGGTGTCCCCAGTACCTGCCACCAGTTTGTGGATGCAGGGCAGGGCCACCTCGTCCTCAGAGCGGAGGGAGCCGGGAGCCTGTGGGAGGGAGGGGAGGGCTGGGAACTGTCCCGGAGTGTCCCCCCAGTCCCAGGGAGGGTGGTGGGGGTGGGTCTGCACCTATGTCCCTTGTGCCTTGTCCCCAACCGTGTCCTGCAGTGAGGAGTTCCCAGGGTGAGCGCGGTGGGTTCTGCAGTCAAGGAGCCGGGATGGGCTGGGATGGGAGGCGGGGGTGCGGTGGGGTGGGGTCGGGATGGGGTCGGGATGTGTTGGGATGGGTTCAGAATGAGCTGGGAAGGGGCCGGGATGTGTTAGGATGGGGTCGGGATGCGCTGGGATGGGGTCGGGATGTGATCAGGATGCGCTGGGATGGGGTCGCGCCGGGGCAGGGCCCCCCCACCCCGGGCAGGCGGCGCGGGGCCCCGCGGTCCCGCTGTTCCCGGGGTTCCCGGTGTCCCCGGTTTCCCTGGGGTCCCCGCGCACCTGGCCGGGCAGGAAGGCGAGGCGGCGGTTGGTGCAGAGCAGCGTTCCCGGCACGGAGCCGCCGCCGTTCCCGCAGCGCTGCCGGGCGCCCGCCGCCTCCTCGAGCACCCGCTCCCCTGCGGGGACCGACACTGGGTCCGGGGCTCCGAGCGCCCCGAGCCTCCCCAAAACCCCCGGCCCCGGCCCTACCTGGGAGCCCGGGGAAGGTCGGACGGCGGCCGCCCGGGGCCCCGCTCATGGCGCAGGGACTTTGGCCGGGCGGGCCCGGAGCGCCGGGGCCGGAGCGGCCCGGGAAGGAGCCCCGAGCGCCCGGCCCGGCTCCGGCATCCCGCCCTCCGCTCCGGCATCCCGCCCTCCCCTGGCACCGCTGCCCCGGCATCCCGC